GACAAGAAGGAACTGAAGGGTTTGGAAGTCCATATACAGAGAGTTGTTACAAGTGTCGAACCACAAAGTTGTCAGTTGAATTATGAATTTGGGTACTGGAATTGTTTTCTAGTTTTTTTTTTTTTTTGCTCGTGTAAGATGAGGAACAAGGGTGAGAAAGTAACAGCAAAACTACAAACCAAGAAAGGACTAGACAGATCTACTACTAACTAATATCAGTATCCCATTCAAGCTCAGAGTCCTTTAGAACCGCCTCCCGTACTGCTTGTGGTAGCACTGTTTCATTAAAGATTTCATCCCTCTTGACAGATAATCCCCACTTGGCCAAGTTGTGGGCAGATTTGTTTGAATCCCTGTAAACATGGACTATGCACCAGTCTAGATGGCGTACTAGTAGGTGTTTGATATCTACTATAATGTTGCTGATTGACCAAGGAGTTCTAAACGGTGGGATCATGGCTGCATGGACGATTACTTGTGAATCCCCTTCAATTGTAATATAATTTCATCCCTTTGCATGTGCCCATTGTGCAACATTTTTGACCGCTAACGCTTCTGCAATACGAGGGTCTTCCCTTAAGTTAAGCTTGGTTGATGTTTCTATTATTTTTCCTTGTGAGTCCCTAGCAACTGCAGCAAGACATGACTCTCCTTTGGCAATTGTCGCATCCACATTGATTTTGATTGTGCCTTCATGAGGGGGGGACCAATGATTTTGAATATGTCCTGTTGCTGACTGCTGTGATCTTTTCTCCCTTGTGTGAACCTTGACATACTGGAATTCATTACAAGCATCCAAAATTTCTTGTAGGATGGTCATGTGATCAGCTTTCGCATCTCTGAACAGAATTCTATTCCTCCATTTCCAAAGGGTTGACATTAGGGTTACTGCAAAGAGGGTTAGATGGCTATGATATGGTCCGTTGGGGGCCAAATGCTAAGGTTGGGTTAAGAATATTATGGGTCCATTCTTGCATTGAAAGGTGAGGAAAATATCAGTTCTGAGGCCCCATCTGTGAAACCATATCGAGCGGGCAATTGCACAGGCAAAGAACAAATGTGCTTCTGTTTCGGGTGCTTGTTTGCAAAAGGGGCATAGTGGGTCAATCATAGGGATTCTTGATGCCAAAACACTTTTGGTTGGAAGGCTTTTAGTATTTGCTCTCCATAGAAATATTTTATGTCTTGTATGCAGTGGGACCTTCCATAACTTACTCCAATCTGTGGTGCTAAGGTAAAAGTTATCCGTATCATTCTCAGATCTGTGGAGTGAATAACCTAATTTAGTGGTGAATTGACCTGTTGCATTGGGTATCCAGACCATTTTGTCCTCTATGGGCATGAGGGGAGTTTTATCTAGAGGATAGCTTGAATGGTTAAGGGGGAGAATAAGGTTTGAAACAATTCTTGGTTCTAGGTTTGGCTCTCTCTGTCAATTAGATCTGAAACTCTGCTTGGCAAGGAATCCAAAACTGTGTTTGGTAGGGAATCCAGGTCATGATTCAAGTGACGCTTAAAAAAAGGGATGTTAGGGATCCATGGGTCTGTCCAAACATTGATTTTATGCCCATTTTGTACAATATAACACGCACCCCTCTCAATGATGTGTCTACAATCTAGAATCTGCTTCCATATCCTCGAATCTGTGGGTTGCTTATCAACTTGGAAGAAAGAATGTCTAGAGTAATACTTTGTCTGTAGTTGGGTGGTCCATAACTTCTGTTGTTGAGAAATCATTTGCCAACCCAATTTGGCTATAAGAGCTACATTTATGTCATGTGTTTTCCTGAATCCTAGCCCTCCCACTGTTTTTGGTCTGCATATGAAATCCCATGATTTAATACACATAGCCTTTTTTTCTTCTGCGCGGCCACACCAGAAGGATCTAATTCTCCTGTCAAGTGACTAGCATATTGACTTTGGCAGGAGAGTGGATTGCATGGCATAAGTTGGTAAGGCTAAGGTCGTGGTTTTAATCAATGTAGCTCTACCTACAAAAGACAAGAGATTGGCTTTCCACCCTTGCATTCTTTGCTCTAGCCTTTCAATAATTGGCTAGAAAGCTCTTCTTCTAGATCGATCTGGTATCACTGGGAGCCCCAAATATACTGCTTCAATTGGTCCTTTTTTGAGCTCCATAATGTTTTTGGCTATTCTAATTGATTCCTTGCTTGCATTGGAGCTGTAAAAAACTTATGATTTTTGTTTGTTGATGAATTGTCCTGACCAGTCTTCATATGTTGAAAGGCATCTAGCAATAGCTTCAACATCTTTCTTATCTACTCTTCCAAAAAGTAACAAATCATCCGCAAACATTAAATGAGTGAGTGGCTCACAGGTGCTAGCAATTTGATTTCCTTGAGATGTCCTAATGTAGCTTCCCTAGAAATTAATCTAGAGAGAATCTCTGTACAAATGATGAAGAGAAAAGGCGAAAAGTTGTCTACTTGCCGAAGACCCCTCTTCCTAGTGAAGTTCCCTAATGGACCACCATTAATAAGGACAAAGAAGTAGGTGGTAGAAATGCATTGCTCAACTAATTGAATGAACTGCGAAAGGAAACCAATCAGTGATAGAATTTTAACAAAGAGTGGCCACTCAACCCTATCAAAAGCCTTAGACATATCTAGTTTTAGAACCAATAGTGCACCTTTTCCTTTTTTCCTCTTCAACTAATGGATGACTTCTTGGGCAAGGACAAGATTTTCAGTTATATTTCTGCCATGCACAAAGGCTGTTTAGGTGGGGGAGATGATCTAATCAAGGAATAGTCTAATCCTATTAGCCAGAATTTTGAAAATAATCTTATAGGTCACGTTACACAAGCTAATGGGTTTATATTGGTGGGCAGTGGTGGGGTTAGTGGACTTAGGGTTGAGGCAAATAAATATTCTATTTAATTTTCTAAGCATTTAACCCCTGCGAAAAAGGTTTTTACCATATCTATAAGGTCCCTATGACTTGCCAGTAGGCTTTGAAGAAAATAGTGGACATCCCATCAGGACCAGGGCTTTTAAGTGGAGGCATAGCAAACAAAATGGTCTTAATTTCCTCTGGCATCAATATGGAATAGAGGGCAGCTTGTTGATCTGGTTGAATAATGGGTGTGAAAAGGTGTTCAAGGTCTTCCGAAAATTGGGGATGTGTTGAGGAAAAAAGTTCTTGGAAATGTGAAGAGAAGATGTCATCAATTTCATCTCTGTTTGAGGTCCAGTTGTCCTTTAAACAGTCAACAGAGTTCCTTCTTCCCCTAATTACCGTGGTTTTGTGGAAGAATTTGGTACAAGCATCGCCCTCTTTTAGCCATTGAATTCTAGATCTCTGTCTCCATAAAACTTCATCTCTCTTTTGTTGTTCTACTAGCTCAGTAGAGAAAAATTTTTCTTCAAGTGTATTGTCTGTTGTTGGCTCCGCTTGCTAATGGTGGTCAATCCTCCTTTTAAGTTCCTTTGTCTTATAGATGCAGTTCCCAAACTTTTCTCTGTTCCATTTTTTAAGTCCTTCCTTTGTAGCTTGGAGCTTCCTATAAAATCTGTAGGCAAGTGAACCCCCCATTTCGTTCTTCACGAATTCTTTACCACCAAGTGACTATTCACGTCTCTAGTCCATATGACCTCAAACTTGAATGGTTTAGGGAAAGTGTTTCGATCTCCTTGTGTGTTCAGCAACAACGGATTATGGTCCGATTCGATGACAGACAAGTGTTTTATAGTGACTCTTGGGAATAAGAGTCTCCATTCATCATTCACGATCCCTCTATCTAATCTTTCCTTGATGTTGGCCAGTCCTTCCCTCTTGTTTGTCTAGGTGTATGGATTTCCTTCAAAACCCATGTCTATCAGCCCCTGTTCATTTATGAATTCTCCAAAACCTCCAGTAAATGGTGAAACAAACAGTTTTCCCCCTTCTTTTCTCACTGTGAAGTGATATTGTTGAAATCACCGATGTATAGGCAAGGGCCTTGAAAATTAGAACTTACGTGCACCATTGTTTCCCACAATTTTCCTTGTAATATTCTATTAGGTAGGGCATATACACAATTCAACATCCATCCAGTTTTTGATTGCCCACTAGGTAATTATGTAAAGATGATGTAATTGGGGGATAGCACAATGTCAATCTGCATATCTTTCCTCCAACATAGACATATTCCTCCTGAATGACCTCTGGACTCTTGGATTTCAAAGCTATAGTAGCCTAGGCTTCTTAGAATTTGTCCTATTTTTTCTTTTGCAATTTTTGTTTCTGCTATGAATAAAAAGTCTGGGTTGAATTCCCTTATTTGTGCCCTTAGATGGTGAACCATCGAGGTATGGGTTAACCCTTGACAGTTCCATATGTATCCTATCATAAGTGGGGTGGGGGCATGGTATGACCCGCCTCCTCAGCCATTGGTACTTCTTCCTTCCATTTAACTCTAAGTTCATGGAGCTCATTGGGTGTTTCTTGGATCTTCCTTGTGATTGATTTCTAGATTTTGAATTTGCGAATTGGCTTTTTGTTTGTGGGTTGATTTGGTGCAGAAGTAATTTTTGGGTTGGATTCTGGTTCATCATCTGGCTTTGTGACAGTGTATTGATTGTAGGATCAGGTTACATTGGAGGGTGCAAGGATTGGTATTGGGGGTTCAGGGGTTGGTTCAATTTCTTGTCTCTGTGCATGAGTGTTATCAGATTCAATGTGATAAATTATGATATGGGATCCATCTTCTTGCCTGTGTATCTTTGAGTGTATTTGGTGTTCTGTGTCTTCAAAGGGGCTTCGTTTTAGGGACAGCTTGTTGATCACCTTAGCAGGACATTCATCAATCAAATTCATGAGATTTGGGGGGAGTGCTTGCGATGCTTCCTCATTCAATTGGAGGTTTTTTTGCTTACCTGTTTGGATGAAGGTAAAGGTCTTGGTTTGGGTAGATTATAGTGCTTGCAATAGTTGATGGGGGTAGGTGACTGATTGTACCCAAGCATAAGGGGACTAGAGGACTAGTCTGAGTTGTTGAGATGGATGAAGGAAGCAAAGCATTTGTGCTTGGTGGTGATTGTGTAGAATTCAAGCTAGTTGAGGATAACAAAGGGCTTGTAGCTAATGGGGATTTAGGGAGTAAGAAGACGAAGGGTGTATGGTTATTGGGGTTTTTATTGGGGATTATGGGGGTGTCCAACCTGGTTGAGGATAACAAAGGGTTTGTGACTGCTGGGGATTTGGGAAGATAAGAAGACGAAGGATTTACGGCTACTGAGGATTGGATAAATTCCAGTCTATTATTTGCTCCATTTGGTGCTTCTGCTGTTAAACAATTGTGGATATGGGTATAGGTTGTATCCCCTTGGGCTTTGGCTTGGTGTGGACCTCCAGGTGATACTTCTACTAGTGGGAGGTTAGGGCTATGAGTATGGTTATATTAGGTTGGGCTTTCAGGTGGTGTGGATTTTTTTTGTTGGGTCACTTAATGAGCTTGTTGTTGGTTTTTTGTTGGGCTTTGTTGGTTGGGTGTAATGGTAAATTCCTTGGTTGACAGAATTGGGGGTGGGTTAGGGTTTTGTAGTATCATGGAAAAAGACAAGGCTTTGGGTGGAAGACTATTTTTCGGATGTCCATGTGTATTGTTGTCAGAGGATCGTATCAGCAGTGGTGTGCACACTATGTACGACCATGGATCATGCATTGTGCCTGGCAGTACTGTGGTCCCCGGTGGTATAGAGGCTAGGGTTTCACGCACCATCCCTGATGGTTCAGATTCCAAATTTTTCAATGATGCAATGTCTGATGTTAGTTGTTACTCAGGGGCTGTCCATGGCGAGGCTCGCAGGTATGGCCCATATGCCAAGTTACATCCCATTCTACTTGAAGGTTTACACCCATTTTGATCATGGCCTAGTCTCCTGCATCTGTAGCAAAAATACCCAAGCCTTTCATATTTCAAGCTAATGAGTTTATCTGGGAGGCCTTTTCTTGGCATCCAAAAGTGGCTTTGGAGGGGCTTTGTTAGATCAATCTGAACTCTGGTGCAGATGTAGTTTTTCCATTTTGTTTTTTTGATGAAGGAGTTATTCCGGTATGGCTGACGTTCCCAATGCTTTAGCAATCCTTAGAGCATTATCCTTTGTGATCATATCTAGTGGGACTCCTTGAGCTTGAACCCATAAAGGGTTTGCATTGAATTGCATGTCAGTAATGGCAGTTTTTGATGTCCATTGTTTTAGAACCATGAGCTGCCCTTTTATGATCCATAGACTCTGATTGAGAATTCTGAGTTTATGCTACTCCTCTGTGAATATGAATATGAATGTATCACTTTCACCTTTTTTGATTTCCACCCTTTCTTTGGCATTCCAAGCCCTTTCCAGTATGGCTCTCATAGCATTCTCATTGATTTTCTGGTCTGTGTATAGTTTACCTATGAGGCAAGAGTGTGTTAGGAATTGGGTTGTGTTTGAGTTTGATTGTAGATTTATTTTGAGGCTATTTGTTTCTGGTAGGGTTTCCATCTGGTTCTCCATTTGGGTAGAATCACAAGTGTGAAAATAGAATCATAGATTAAGGTACTAACTATTGAAGGTCACCTACGAAGAATAAGAGATGGGGCTAGGAACAGGGGATTAATGGTGGTAAAGGTTTATACAATGAAGCAGGGGAGGGGAGTGGGGGGTTGTGATGAATGAAAATGAAGAGGTGGGTAGAACTATGAATAGGATAGAGGAGGGTTCCTTTCTTCTGGATGAAACACAATAGTTAAAAAGATGGTGAATGATGGGGAAAGAGCTTGATAAAAGGTGAAGGGTATCTTGTGGATGATGGGGAAGAAGAATGGTAGGACTGATTGTAAGGGAAGTAGCTAGGTGTTGAAGGCGAAAGTGAAAGTAGCTTCCTTAGGGGGGTATCACCATTGAGGGAGAGAGAGAACTCTAGAGAAGAGTAGTTGTAGACAAAAAATATAATAGATGAATTTTTTTCTAGTTGTTTTTTTTTTTGATACATATTGTACTTGCGCATTCCATTCGGTTCTTGTTATTATGTGCCCATTTTTTTTTTTTGGGTATATGGATCTAATTTTTCTTCTTCTCCTTCTTCAGTTTTGTGGTTTTTAGATCTCCCAATTTTGTTCAATGTTCTTGGTTATTTTTTTTTATGAGCATATTAATGTTTTCTCTCCTATTCATCGTCGGTTGTCCATGTTGCTTTAAAAATGCTAAGTGTGTTATTTGTTTGACTCTCAATTTTATTTAATATTTTATATTATTATTTTTTTATTGAGCATTTATTATTTTCTCGTCTAAGCATCACCAGTTGCCAATGTTGATTATAAATGTTTAGTGTGTTATTGGTGTGATCCTTCAATTTTATTTAATTTTTTATGTTACAACTTTTTTTTTGTGAGTCTATTACTGTTTTCTCGCCTATACATTATCAACTACTTATGTTGCTTTATGGTTCTCTAGTTAATATTCAAAGTTACTATATTTTGTCTTGAATGTTAATATTCAATATTACTATTTTCCGGAATGTTAATATTCATTGTTACTATTTTTTGTTAATATTTAATGTTACTATTTCCAGAAATGTAAAATGTTACTATTATTTATTTTGAATGTTATTGTTTTTTGTTATTGGTTATTACTATTTTTTGTGTTTGAATGTTACTATTTTTTATATTGAATGTTAACAGCAAAAATAGTCCTAATCTATATATATATATAGATAGATAGATATAAAAGAAAAAATTTTAATGTCTTTAATTTTTTTTTAATTACATATAAGTATTAGGAGTATTTTAGATAAAGAAAATCGAAATTGACTTATTCTCAAACAAAATTTTTGAATGACCTAAATAAGTCTTGAAAAATAGACCGACTTCAAATTTCTCATTAATATATAATTCATGGGAAGATAAAAGAACAACTTTGAACAAATTAACTTTGAAAGAAACTCGAGTTATTTGAATTATTAAACAGAGTTTTGTATTACGATTTTCCCCAATAATTATTTTTTGTGTCGGTTGATTATAGGTAAAAAGGGCATTTTTAACAACTTTGTTTTTCAACTATTGAAAGAAATTTTGGGTTTATTTGGTTTGTGCTTAGAAAACAATTTTTTGTTCTCAAATCTCTAAAAACAATGAAAACATGTTTGGTCAGTTTTTTCAATCTCTAATTTTCAGAAAAAAAAAAAGTAAGAATTGAGATGAATTTTTAGAGAACAAGTTGGGGCTGTTTTGGTTGAATTTGGGAACAAATTTTCAGAACACAGAAAACATGGGAAACAAGCCCAATTTATGAGATCTCACCATCAAATCCCATTAACTACAAAATAGGAGCACCCACAATTAACTTCAGTTGCTTTCTTCTTCTCTGCCAAAGTTCGACGACAACGTATGAGCATCGACGAAGGCCAATGGTCGACAACAAACAGCTGTAGTCTTCTCTCTGATGCAATCCATCTCCTCTTTCTCTCTCTGCAGCAGATTTGAACAGATCTGTATATATACACAGATCTGTGTATATATACAGATCTATGATTTGTATGTGTGTGTGTATATATATATATATCTGTGTGTGTGTGTGTGTGTGGGCGGGTGTGCAATGATTCTGTGTGCGGGGCTGTGAGAAGATAATGTGGAAAGTGAGAGAAAACTCTAGATGATGGTGGAGTTAGAGCTGGAGAAAGAAGATAAAAAGTGTGATTTTTTTTTGGTCAAAAGTAATAAGTTAAAAATTAATTTTGTGGATTATTTTATAATTTTTTTTTTCTTTAAAACTATTTTCAAAAATACATAACCAAACAGGTTTTGCAATCTAAAAATTTTCAAAAACACTTTCTTAAAATTCTTCTCAAAAACTATTTTCAAATACTATTTTTTGAGATGCAAACCAAACATGCCCTTGCTTTTCAAATAACCGAAAAAAAAAAGAACAGAAAACCTTAAAACCAAGAATAAAAATTAGTAAATCGAGCAAAAAAATCAAATACAACTTTCTTGAATCCATCTCTCTCCCAGAACCAGAGGCCCTCAATATTCCATGTAGGTTGAAGACTTATTGAAATCCGGCAAGCTTGTCCTCTTCCTCAAACTCTCTACAATCCTCTCATTCACGTACTTTTAATTTTATCACCCATAACTATCTCCTTCATCTCTCCCTCCTCCTCTCTCCTCTGGTATTCTTCTGTTGCTGTCATATTACATAATTAGTGCAATAAATGCAAACCTTCACATACCTCTCTGTACTTTCTCACTCTTAATAGTGAAATAAGAGCAACTCCCGAACACCCATGTCCAGCAAAGAAGGAGTTGTGCTGCAAAAGGATGTTCCATGGAGGGCATCCCCTTCTGTCAAACCTATCGAGGTATTTCCAGCCCTCTCTCTCTCTCTCTCTCTCTCTCTCACACACACACACACACTCACTTAGACTTATTTCAATATTTTGTGTGTATTTATGTATGCATTGGCAAATAATTACAATTTTATATTTCTGATATGGGCCTTATTATTTTTTGGTTTGTAGGTTGTGTATGATAATTGTATTTATATTTAATCATGGGTTTTACAATTTGTAATTTCCTGGTTTTGGGATTGGAATTTTGCAGCGCCCCAATGATGAATATGTTTGATATTAGTATTATCATGTATGATGTTTTCTACCATAGTTTTAGGATGCAGTAAGGATGTTGTAGAGCTTATGTGCGACTGTTATGGTTCAGGGACATTATAGTATAATTAAAGCCGCATGGTCAGTGTTATTTGACGATGCACAAAAGTGAACTTATGTATAATTAATCAATCGAGTGTGTGTTATAAAACAATTAATAAAATAGTCAATAATAAAAGACAAAGATTGGCTGATCTAACCACTAAAGATGATAACGATGGCCGAAAAATTCTATTAATGAGAGAGTATAAGGTAGTAGAAGAGAGAGAAAGTGCAAGAATATGTTCGAGGTGAAGTGCGTGAGATTTCTGTGTGAGAGATTGTTGTCCCCCCTAATGTGTAGAGGGCTTACAATTTATAGGCATAGAGCCCTGGTAGAGGCGGTGACGTGAGGGTCAAGCTACTATTCTATCGGGGAGGATAACTACATTTGGGGATTGGCACTATCCTGAAGTAATGACTATCTCGATAATTGCTCTCTCACGTGTATTGACTCTTCCTAGACTCTTGAACTGAGGTCATGAGCTAGGTTTGGTCTGCCTTTTGATGATTTGGGCTTAACCCATGAACTGGGCCCAGGGCTGGTCTAAATTTGGGCTCGTCATTTGCCTCCCATGCCCCAAGCCCCAGTAGTGATAGGGGGTTGAGGGCATGAATGAGCTCCTTCATTTGGATGGAGTAGATATCTTGTTCCATATGGTGGCTTCTTCAGCTTGCTATTCCATTGTATTGTTTGAAGCTTATTTCTTTATTTGGTAGCGCCATTGTTGGAGAAAGGATGAAAAGAAGCATGGACGCTTCGGCACATGGAGATGGAGATGTTTTGGCGAGTGGTGCCTTAGAAAAGGAAAGAAGCTTGGGTGGCGCCATGGATATAAATCTAGACAACACCAAGGAAGGTGCGAGGCTGGGTGGTGTCATGGGTGACACCACGGAGGACCCAAGCAAACTGATGATGTTTTTGATTTATGAAAATTCTCACTTTTACAGGTGATCCCGTGGTTGATAGATCAATGGTGAATGCTCTCTATGTAACTAGGATGGTAACTTTCTCTCTTCCTAGGAGGGCGAGGTCTTATGCCCCTAGTTCTTTCCAGCTAAGGTCTGATGCCTCTAGTGCTTTGCGATCAAGTTCTGATGGCTCTACTATTTTTGGAAGGTGAGGCCCGCTTTTTCTCAGCATGTGACCCTTTGAGTCCTAGGGTTAGTTATAGGACTACTTTAGAGATTGAGACTCCTATGCAGACTTCCACTGAGACTAGAGCTCCGCATCATTATCCTGCATCTAGCAGTGGCCTGGTGTCTGTGCTGCAGGATGTGAACTTTTCTAAGGAAAGGTTTTGGAGGTTTGTGACAACCTCAGGTATTAGAGAGGTCGGCTGGGATCTTGAGAGTATCATTGGTACCATAATAGGGGGTTTTGCAATGGTACCCCTCTTTTCTGTTCATCCTTGTCTTCTGTATGTTTTGGTCATACTAACACTCTTGTTTTTGGATATTCACAGATGGTTGCAACTTTTCTGTGTCTTTAAGAATACTCAAACTCAATGAGGTGTTGAGTGGCGAAAGAGAGGCGGGCACACTAGGCTTTTGAGGAACAGTTAAGGTTCATGAGAGAGCAGCATGCCTTGAGGCCGAGTTTTTGGAAACCGAGGCTGGTTGCTTGAGAAAAGAGGCAAAGTTAGATCAAACCTCTAGCGACTCATGAGAAAGTCGTTAAGGTGAAACTGAGGCTGCCTGCATAAGAGTAGAGGCAGAGTTAGGCCAATTTTTCTGCCGACTCGTGAGAGAGGTGTTAACCCAGAGATTGAAGTTGTCTGCGTGAGAGCAGAGGTAGAGTTAGGCCAAATTTTCTGGCGACCCTGAGAAAGCCACTAAACTGGAGATTGAGGTTGCCTGCATGAGAGCAGAGGCAGGGTGAGGCTGAACTTTTGGCGACTCGTGAGAGAATCGCTAAGTTGGAGATAGAGGTTGCTTGAGAACATGGGCAAGAATTAGGCCGAGCTTTTAGCAACTCGTGAGAGAGACGCTAAGTTAGAGATTGAGGTTGCTTGCGTGAAAACAGAGGAAGGATTAGGTCGAGCTTTCTAGCAACTTGCGAGAGAAGCGCTAAACTGGAGATATAGACTGCTTGCATGAGAGCAGAGGCAGAAAAAGGTCGAGCTTTTGGCAATTCGTGAGAGAGATTGAGGCAACCTGCATAAGAGCAGAGGTAGGATTGGACCGAGCTTTTTGGCTACTTACGAGAGAGCCCTGCCATGTTGGGGATTGAGCTGCCTGCATGAAAGAGGTTGTGCCTTTAGCGACTCGGGAGGCTCTCTTCTAAGAGAAGAAGAGGTCAATGAAGGTAGCTAGAAGGCATCGATAGGATAGAGCCGGCAGTGCTTGGACGTTGAGTATGAGATGTGAGGTCACTTGATGCACTAGGAGAGGTGACAACAGGCACCAAGAGCATTGTTGGGCAAGTAGGGCCCGCATCGTGTGCGGTACGAATGAGGAGGTAGGTGCCAAGGCAAGGGCGCATAGGCGAGAAGGCAGACGCCAAGGCAGGATCAAGGCTTGGAGATGTTTTGGGTCATCTATGGGCGAGGCCAGGCATTAAAGGGGATGACAACGATGCTAAGCTATTAGGCGGTGTCATGGAAAGCGTTGGCGCCATTAAGTGCCTGGGTAACACGGAGGAAGAAGGAGAGGTGTTGGGCGGGGCCCATATCACGAGTAGGGGTGACGTCAAATGTCTTGGAACAAGCGGCGCCCATGACGTAGATGAGGGCGGCGACATTTGCAGTGGAGGAAGACTAGGCAACACCCTGGGAGCCAGCAACGTGTTGGGCAGCACCAAATGCAGGGCTGTGCGACTCTAGGGCAGTCTGGGCACATTTAAGCGGTGCCAGGGTTGGTCTAGCCATGTCTAGGTGACGTCAGGGCTGGTCTGGCCACATCTGGACGATGCCTGGGCATTTCTGGGCGGCGCCTGAGCTGGTCTAGCACGTCTAGACGACGTCATGGTTTGGCATGGAATGGTATAGGTGACACCAGGGATGGCGCTGACGCTGGTGCTGGTGCTGATGTAGACGCTGGGATATGAGCTATGCCAAGGGCTAGGCGATGCCAGGATGCTCTAAGAGATACAGGGGCTGGCACGCACGTAGGCTTTGTTGTTGGCGCTCACGCTAGGTGGAGTATTAGAAAAGCATAAAGAACCAACAAAACTTTGAACGTCTATAACTTTGCACTCATTCGTCCATTTGAGGCGAATATTTTTTTGAATTTGGATATTTTTTTGAGATCTATGACAATCAAATAGCCAGAGGCGATTGAGCACCAAATTTTCCCAAAATATGCTTATTTTTCACTGAATTTGAGTTTTAAACACAAATTAGTGAAAAAATAGAATTTTCTCGTGTCTACTTTTCGCCAGTGTTGGTGGGACCTCGTGATGTGGCGTAGGGGCAAAGCCAGAAAGTTATGCCAGGGGGGGCACAAATATTTCAACCAACTAAATTATATTTTTTTTTACAATCAATAGAAATAAGACAATAATTTATGTGCCAAAAAAATAAGGTGAGTATAATTAAAAATATTGAAGAAATATTTGAAATACATATAGGTAATATTAAGAAAAAAAATTGAGGGTGGACATGTGCCCCCCTGGTCATATGTCAGCTCCGCCCATGCTCTCTACTAAACCCATCAATTGTGCAAGGAACGACAAAAAAATCTAAGAAACTAAGGAAGGAGTTTTATCCTGTTTCTTTTGATTGAGACAGAGAGAAAAAAAAAACTAATAAGATAGGTGTTACCAATGTCTGTCAAGTGGGCCAAAAATTTTATTTTTTAATGGTGGGCAAAAGTTTTATTTTTAATGTTGGGCCAAAAGTTTTATTTTTTTTAATAGGTTTTAGTGAATTGTGATAGGTCAAAGATTTGATTTTTTAATAAGTTTTGGTAGATAGTGGTGGACTCAAATTTTTTTTTATTTTAAATAGGCTTAATTTTTTAATTCTTTTGAATAAATGTGGGTCTAACATTTTTATCTTGGATTTTGAGTTGACACAAATAATATATTATACAAATATATAATATATATACCTAACTAATAAAAAAAAATTGAGGGGGGCACTTGCCCACCAGCCAGCCCAACTATAGAAGCAAAAAAGCTTGGGCTTTAGGCCCTATAATTTTAGGTAAATAGTTGGCCTACTTTAAGATTTTAAATCCATGAAAATTATAAGTTCTACAAAAAAGCCTTAGTTAAAATTTAAGGTCAATCAAAAATTTTAATTTTAATAATTTTTTGAACTCATGATTCATCCCATAATAATAAAAACCTTAAAAATCAAAATTTTATTAAAAAAAAATTGATGGTATACTCAAAAATCAAGTCATAATTCACCTATCCATTATTAATCACATCTTCTCTCTCTCTCTCTCTCTCTCTCTCTCTCTCATTTTTATTCTCATTCTTCATATCAATTTCAAAAAAAGAATTTTTTTGATTGTTTATTTAACTTAAAAAATAAAATTATTAAATGCTGATAATTTAAAAAAAATTATCTTGATTTCGAATGTTTCTTAATATATAACAATTTTTTTGACGTTGATAGTTTAGATTTATTTTAAAAATAAAATATTTTAAAACAGATTTTATAAATGAAAGAAAATACTCCAATTGAGACTCCAATTTATATAAAAACATTATTTTTTTTTTCAAATGTATGCATTTCTTATAGAATATTATTATTAATTTTTGTAATAGTTACTTCTACAAAAAGAAGCTTTTCAAAATTAAAATCAATAAAATCTTATTTAAAATTGACTATCACAAAAAAAATAATAATTAGATTAGCGATATTATCAATGAAAAAAAAATATGATAACAAAATTTAGATATAAAAACTCAATTTATACTTATAAAACTCAAAAAATGAAAAGAATTAATTTTAATCAAAATTTTTAACACTAAAAATAAATAGGCCTCAAAATAAATTACTATTTTAGGCCTCAAATTACCTTGAGTCGTCCCTATTGCCCACTCTGGCCCATGCCTCCCTCCGCCCTTGATGTGGCGGCTCATATTCTGCTTGGTGGTTCATGGATCTAGTTGTGATTGTCATTGGAGATTGGAAAACTATAAGGTGAGAATCAAACTGATTTCCACAAGTAGCGCTAAACTGATGATGCACAAAAGTGGATTTATGTACAATCAATCAGTCGAGTGTGTGTTGTCAAACAATTAATGAAACAGTCAATAATAAGAGGCAAAGATTAAGTGGTTGGTCTAGGTGATCTAACCACTGAAGGTGGCAACGGTGGCCGAAGAACTCTATTAATAAAAGAGTACAAGGTAGTAAAAAAGAGAGAAAGAGAGAAAGTCCAAGAGTACACTCAAGGTGAAGTGCGTGAGATCTCTATGTGAGAGATAGTTGTCCCCCCTTTCATTTGTAGAGGGCTTATAATTTATAAGTACAGAGCCCTGATTAAGGCGGTGACATGAGGGTCAAGCTACTGATCTATCAGGGAGGATATCTACAGTTGGGGATGGGCACTACCTTAACGTAATGGCTATACCGATTGTTTTCCTACGTCTGTTGACTTTTCCTGGACTCTTGAACTGAGGTTATGAGCTAGGTTTGGTCTGCTTTTTGATGGTTTGGGCTTAACCCATGAATAGGGCACAGACCTGGTCTAAATCTGGGCTCATCATTATTAAATTGTGAGTATGACTCATGATTCTTTTTGTTCATTGAGAAGTCAAGAATTCTTGTTTGTTCTGTTATGGGATATTGCAGATAGGGAAGGTGCTAAGAGAGTGGACAAAGTGTTTGTTACCACCTAGCATTGGTTAGTCATGGAGTATGGGTTATCAAACCTTGTAATTCTGTTTCGTCTATGTAGTATCTTTGATAAAGGAAACATATCCCTAATTCTTTGGAATGAGATCTGTTCTGCCTTGATTTCGGTGGTCAATATTGAAAGGAATGTTAGAGTTTTGGTGTCAAGAAAAATGGAACTATGGCATAAGTTGTACTTCTTGGCTTGTGACGCCCCAAAATTCAAGTCCTTTCTCAATCTGTTGACTATTCATCAACCCGCAGAAATACCTGTGAGTACTGTATAATTCGATATCATGTCGTTACATCTCATCCATCTAGATCTTAACCAAAACAAACTTTGAATAGAGCCTCCTTTGTACGGGAACCCTACTCAATACATAACCTATGCATACCATAATCATAGGATCATTTCAAGATCCAAACCCCATCAATTAGGACCTAATATTTAACCAATTACATCATTCAAATGAAAGAACTCAAAAGGTGAAGGTCCAACAAAGTTAAATTTAAAATTTTAATTTTTGTGAAGAGGTATCGGTTTAATAAAATCCTTGTCTAACAATTCTTACAATTAGACCTTGAGTTCTTGCAACTCCATAGGTGTCATCTTTTGTGGCATCATAGAAATAGGGGATGCGTCGGATTATAACTCAATGGCGAAGTCTACATCCCGATATGAAGGTAATCCCGGTAATTCATCTTGAAAAACATCCGCGTACTTGCAGATTACCCGAAATAGACCCAACTCTTATCTCGCCTCATCCTCTAGTGTAAGACTACCAAGACCAAGGTTAATCCTCCCAATATGGGAGAAATTTCAGAGCGTCCCCTATCAGGTTAGCTAGAGGACTTGCTACATATGCCACCAAATGGGTCATTTGAAATGGGATTCTGCTCAAAGGCAGGGATCCCAGAGCTACAGAACATCTCTGTCCCAGTCATCAGTGAGACATCCATAGACATTCTTCACTCCTCTCTATCCCACCGTAAGCTAGGGAAATCAGTTCCAGTTCTAGTGTGCTGCACAGGCTCCTACTACTTCATGAGCGAGGATTTTGTATTCAGGTCAGATGGGCCAGGGTATGGGCCAAGGTCGAGGATAGGGGTTACAAGCCAAGACTTCGGGGGTCCTAGGGCTAAGTCTACGCCATCATACCTCAGACTGTGTCGGTGGATCAGTCGGTAATTCAAGGTACATTTTTACTCTTTCGCTTATGAGCATGGGTATTATTTGATTTGGGTGCATTTTACTCATTCATTATTGCATTATGTGTGAAAGATTTGGGCTTAGAGGTTGAAGGTTTAGAAGAGTCATTGCATGTAAGTTTTCCCTTAGGAGCTAGAGTTTGCATTTACAAGATATGTCGGGGATGTGAGTTAGAGATCTCAGGGATTCAACTCATGGTGGACCTTAGAATCATAGACATGTCGGAGTTCAATATCATCCTCATGATGGATTGGTTTACGACACATCGAGTGTCATTGACTGTCATCGGAAGAAGGTCACTGCTTATACACCAAAGAGTGTCTGCTTCAAGTTTCAGGGAGAAAAGCGCGATGCTTTATCCCAAGCTGTATATGATTCCCGTTGGTACAGGTTGATGGGTGATCAATGGCAAGTTGTGATGCCCCAAAATGGTCCATTCTCAACTCATTGATCACCCATCAACCTGTGGAAAATATCCGTGAGTACTGTATAACCTCATACCACGTCGTTACATCCCATCCATCGGGATCATAACCAAAACAAACTTTGAGTAGAGCCTCCTTTGTACGGGAGCCCTACCCAATACATAACTTGTCCATACCATAATCATATGACCATTCTAAGGTCCAAATCCCATCAAGTAGGACTTAATATTTAATCAATTACATCATTCCAACGAAAGAGCTCAAAAGGTGAAGGCCCAACAAAGTTACATTCGAAATTTTAGTTTTTGTGAGGAGTTACTTCTTGACCTATCTCTGGCCTTTAGCAATTAAGTAACTGAGAGGGGCCACATTGAGTTTTAAGTCAAAAAGAAATGGTTTGCTTCTTTGAATGCTCATTAAGTGTCTTTCATGAGCGAAAATCATCCGCATTGGTTCATTTTTGGCATTGGTGGATTTTTTCAGAAGCATTATGGTGTGTTTTTGTTCTGTAGACTGATGGACTATGGCTTTTCTGATACAAGAAGGTTCTAGCTCGTCTGGAAGAACTTCCGGAATTGAGAGAGATCACAAGTCGTGGTTGCAATTTTCCAGTTGTTGGTATTATGTTTGCTCAATGTAAGGAATCTTAGTTTTATCTTGCTCGCTGGTGGTGGAGATTCTAGGCTTGTATGTATCCATCTTTTGATCCTTGCAGTTCCTTGTTGCTCTTCATATGTGCGGGTATAGCCTATTGATGTCAACTTGAAATTTATGGAACCAGTTGGATGAGAACTTACGGCGATTGGGAAGGTAACATTTCTGGAGTATCTTGTTTCTCTACATTTTCCTTTCTTTGACAGAAATTTTTGTGATGAAAAAGAAGCCATTGATTTCATAAAGCGGTGATAGCATTGGAGTTGCAAATTTGCTTTTTCTTTCTGTGATTCTTTCCAAAGATTTCATTGTATACTAGGTGACACTAGTTACAGGTTTGACTACGATATTCATGGTGGTGGATTGGGAGCTAAATTTTCGAGATTGTCAATTTTACTATAATTGATGCTTGGATATGAGGCACTCCCACATGCTTCTGCTTTGGCTTAACTTTATGTTACTTACGAAATGTGTAGCTGGGGCATTTTAAAATTGGACTTAGACATTCATGTGCCCAGTTGCATATCTATTGCCTCCTCCTACCATGACTTCAGTCTTGGCAAATTAATAGTAAGGGGTTCTTGTGGAAAAATAATTCAACCCGGTCACCGGGGGTATTTGATGCATTTTAAAGTACAAAAGGCTGCAGTGACACCCCACCCTTCAATGAAGAGGTTGATAATATATAACCCCATACTATTTGCACATCTAGAGCGATTGATGTTGTGTTGAACTTGGTTTTGTACAAAACTGTCATCTGAACTACAAATATCGAGGGTATTGGGCTTGATCATTCTAGAAATGCCAAATTTTTGTATGTCATTTAAAGAGTAACAATGTGATTGTTAAGATCACAAATGCAAGCAAAATAGTTTTTGTTGTGATCGTGCAGCAATTATGGTGAATAGTAAGGAATCAAACAATTAAGAAAGCAGGAGAAAATAACACACAGAGATTTACGTGGTTCGGCAATGTGCCTACATCCACGAGAGCGAGCGGCCGTTCTTTTCCATTATTGAAGTAGGGTTACATCTTAAGTATTTATATAACCCTAATATGGACGTATTTACAAAAATACCCCCGTACCGTACCGCGGGGGCGTTGCCCCCGCTCCGGCATCTGCCTCCTTGCCATTATGCACATAGCAAATATGAGCCACACATATTCTAACAATTTTCTTAGCTATTAGCACGTGAAAATGTTACTTTTCTTAGCAGTTATTATACTAAACCTTAGGAAGTCTCGGTTTTAAAAGTTCTATGGCATGCAAGTGTTATTGACATTTCTGCTTAGCATCCTTTCTTATGAATGTTGATAATTGTCGATGTGGGGGTGCAGTTCATGGATTCAGCCGTTGACCTTATGAACAATTCATTTTGAACAAATCCATTATGTGATTGAATTTTTTTTATTGAGTGGCCTGTCAGCTGCAGTGATAGACTTGCAAGTTTCATGTTCCGCCTACTTGGAAGGAGTGGAAGCCTTGCCAAGCTGAGTTACTGTAAATAAATCTCTTCAGTTTGCTAATTGATTTGGTCTTATTTTGCTTTTAGCCTATATTCTAGGTGGAAGATTGAAGGAGTTTGTCTTTTTTTGTAGGAGAAATGTATGTTTTGGTTTTTGGAAACAGTTTTCAAAACTTTGAAAACAAGGAAAATATGTTTGGTTCTACAATTTTTGGAAAAAGAGGAATATGTAAAGAACAAAAAATGGGAAACGAGCTGATCTTGTTTTGAGTGTTTTGGAAACAAAATAAAAAAGGAAAAAGAGAAAACACGGAGAACACCTTTTTTTCTCTGTAATGAGGTCTGTTTTTTTTTTCCCTCTCTCCTCTCCATGGCGAAACCAGACAAAACACATACATACACACAATGTCTTCTTCGGCAATCTCCGGCAAAAGCATCGTCTTGCGACACACAAACATAGCGTCTTCAAGCCTCTCTCTCTCTCGCTCTCTCCCCAGCGTCGGCTCCAAATTTGAGTTTTTTCTAGCGATCTCTTACAAAAGTGTTTTTAGCGTTTTTTTTTTTTGATTATGTTTTTTTCAAATTTGGGTTGATCTCCTTCAAAATTGGGTTCGATTCCCTTTGATTTTTTTTTTTGTTTCTTTTTTGTGTTAGATCCAGCGGCTTCAAGGCTTGAAGGCATCATCTCAGATCTATTGTTGCTTGGATTATTGTGAATTTTTGTACAAACAAAGGCATGGCCAAGAAAGGTACCGTGTGTTGAATTTTTGTACAAACAAAGGTACGGTGTGTGGAATTTTCTTCCTTAATGATTTGGGTGTAGCGAATTTTTTGTGTGAATTTTGGATTTGTGTATGTTTAACTCACTGAGATGGTGTATGTTAAGGTGGAAATTTCCTCTTTTTTTTTGTTTTTCCTTTTTTATAAAGTTTAATATATTAGAAAAATTTTATATGAAACACTCAATCCAAATAGGTTTTATCATTTTTTGTTCCGTAAAATTATTTTTGAAATCGTATAACCAAACAAGTTCTTTATTTTAAAAAATATCAAAAATATATTTTTAAAGTTGTTCTCAAAATTTATTTTCAAATACTATTTTTTGAAATATAAACCAAATAAGCTCTATGTTTCTGAAACTTGTTTTGGCTCACATATCCCTCGGTTTTAATTGTTACTCCTGGTACTCTCATGTTTGTTAGACTATTAGAGCACATAAGGATAGCTTCTTTTCCTGTACTAAGTAAAGCTCAGCAAATGTCCTGTGACCCATAGGCTGATCTATTAGCCCGGTGGCCCAATGAGCGTGGCTTGATCTGTCATGTGGCAGTCGTTGGTACAACTTCAAAAATCCATGGCGCACTGTCTTTCTTTTAACAAGAACTTAATTCTGGTTTGTATAATTGTATATATGCAAGCAAACCATAATAGTTGCACAAAACTCCACATACATTAGAACAGCCAAGCTTAACTATAGACCTATTATGTGAGTTTATAGATAAGGTTCAGAAGATCTGCCGCATATACAAATTAGGTAATGTGATAGAAATGAGGGGAAAAATATGTGGGCATAAAATTCGAATGTTTAGTTAATTTCTTAGATAGATACTACCATATATACAACTCTTCTCCAAAAAGCAATTTCTGGGGAGGACCTAACCATGGCTATTAACAGAAGTTCCATCTTGGCTTTGAGTACCAGTGGCTTGTCCATTTGGGTTTTGGCTGCTATCCCATGATTGTCTTGGAATGGCATGGTGGTTATTGACATCAGGGTCATCGTACGCCGAGCTCATCGCAACCACCTTATCATTTCCATTGACTTGCTCTTCTGCTACAGTTACCATGGCCATGGTCGGTGGCTTGACTTCAATTGTCATCTTCCTCCTGCTAGTGGCACAAGCCAAATCCGATGCCACAAGTAACAGAAGCAGTGGGAGTAATCTAATCTTCTTGGCCATGGAATCCTGTTCTCTTCTCTTCATTAAGTACCATCTCATTTGGTGCTTGGAAGATAACAACTAGCTAGTTATATACAGGTAGAGAAAGAGAAAGAGAGATGATGATGGAAGTGGGTGGAAACTTAGAAAAATCTGGATGTGGGCTCTCCACCAAGCTACCAAAGTCAGATCACAAAATGCTCCATTTGGTGCCTTCCTGTAGATATTTTTGTAAGAAGAGGATGGGGAGTCCTATCCCCAAATGGAAAGTTGACACCTTGCGGTGAAAAGTAAGGCCACTTGCTTTAACCATCATCATGTTGGTGCTGAAAATTTGGATGTGTACACTCTCAGTTTCGGGACAACTCAGCAATGCTATATACTAGCTCAGTTCATTTCCTGTTGTATTGGAGAATCTAGATAGTTCTAGTTATGGGTAGGGTTGCTTTCAGTTGTCAATTATGGGGATCCAGCATGTTAGCAAACGCCTACTCGATACAAAATGAATCTAAAAATGATGAGATTAATACAAATAGTACATAAATTGAATTAGTATCTTTTACGAATAACCTATTTAATTAATATTATGCAAATTAAAATTGCTTGTTATTTTATTTTTCCCATTGTTTGACGCAACATCATGCAATTGTAGTAAAACTAAATGTTTGATTGGATAACATACATGTGGTGAATTTGATCGAGTATAGATGAAAATGACATGAAACCAAAGTTACACTTGGTGAATATGGCATGACTCACTAAAATTGCATCGAACTGTGTCATTCCAAATCTTATCAACTAGACATGCAGGTGAGCTCAGAATGAAGTAAATACTCCATAACAGGAGGACTAGAGAGAAACAATGAGCAACTAATGAAGTACCCTTCACTTTCAGCAGCATCCCAAATGAAGTCCCCATTGGGGGTGGGTAATAAATAGAAATTCCTTCTGTGATGAATAGCAGCTGATCATCTCAACATTCGAGAGGAGCATGAAGAATGGCTTCCTCGTGTCTGCCTTGTGTTGTAGGATTTGCATTTTAGACACTTGTGTGCCACAATGTGAAAATTCACCTCAGATGTTTCCCCACAGTCATTGCAGAGTATCCAGACCTAAACCGTTACAGTTTCAGATGGGTAAATATCACAAATGATATCACAAAAAGTTATTACCAAGTCAAGACACAAATTTTTTATCCTTTACCATCTTGTCTTGGTACATTTGAGGCATGGGTGTCGAAGCAACCTGGATTAGTTTTCAAACAACATCAGATGGGTATAAAGTATAAACCCCAAATTTTCTAAAGGGTACGAGCACATGCAGCTTTCACAAAAAATAATTAATACCACATCATTGTACCTCCTGATCAAGTTTTTGCCACACATGGGACATATCACAATATGATTTTGAGCAAACAGGGCAAGAGTACCTGCATGCCAAAAGAGTTAGCACCAAAGCCAATTACCCAAAAATCAAGGGAAAAAATGAACCCAGTAGTTTTATACAAACAAGAACAATGGGTTTCCCTTCCTATATCTAAACTTACCGGAAATGCTGTTCCATCTCCTTCACGCACTCCAAATGCATGGTGTGACCACAAGGCAGGACAGTAACGCCTTTGGTTGTATCAAAGAGATACTGCAAAAAAAAATTGGAAGAACTCAGCTACTAACAAAAAATGAGCATTTTTGTGTATTTCTTCTTACACTTCTTAAAATTTTAATTCACCTCGAGGCAAACTGGGCAGTTGTGATGCATTGCTCTTTCCATACATTTGTGTGAATCCTTAAGCAATTTTGAATAGCAACATCCTAGAAGAAGTATCATTAATGTTTAAAACTCAATAATTTCAACAGCAAAAGTTGTATCTATAATTTCAATATATCAGGCCAGAAGGATAAATCTTTAATATACAAGTTCATGATCTTACCACAACCATGACAGTGGAAAAAATTCTCTTCGCCTCCAGTTCTGTAACACCAAAATAGTCAGAGAAAAATTAGAAAGAACGAGATTCCACTTAAAAAAAAAGAGTGTGACAATGAAGGCTAAATGAGTAAGAACTATTTAAGATGCCTTGGCCATACGTGACAACAAAAGATATGTTAAATCAACCATTGTATGGGGCCAAAGGTAGGACAGAAAGAATCACAGAAGGGGATTTAACCTGCAGATTCCACATTGATCACAATGATATTGCTTCTTCGCAACCTAAAGATAAAAATTCATGTTGTCGTTTAAGCAAATTCATAGCAATCAGGCTTAAAGTTTCAAGGTAAAATCGATCAAAGAGGCTTACATCATCATCAAAGAATTTGCATTTTTGACAATAGTATTTCCCCATGCATACTCCACACCGAATGCAATTCTGTTGAACCTGAAAGGGGATATGAAACCCAAAACCATGCATCAACGATATCTGTTTTTCGCTCCCTATGTCAACTATGTCTACTTTAGAATTGAGATTACCAAGGACTGGAATACAATTTACATTTATATTACTAATGTTCCTAGTCCTTTGAGTTTATAAAAGGAAACTCACATCTTGTTCTGTGTTACACAATGAACAGATTACCTGAAATACACAAATAAAGAAGAGATCATATTTGATTAGTATACTTCCCCCTTTTATAATAAAACAAGAGAATTAGAAATATAAATTAGAAAAGTGGTTCTTTTAAGACAAAGAGACTGCAAGGTATGTCAAAGGAGGCCATAAAAGAATAAAGATAGCAAATCAAGTGAAAACAGCAAAGCTAAAAGAGAAAAGGAAAAGAAGCAAAAGATAGCTGCTTAGCCATATCAAAATTTCACGAGTTGCATCTTGTGATAGAAGCCATAATTAATCCGTAAACTAAACAATAATTAGCAAAATTTGTAAATGTGACAGAATCCAAGTGACACTTTTACTTTTACACCCACAAAACAAAATTTCCAACATCCAGAATACAAAATAGACAGAAAATCAAAAAATCAAAACAAAATGTTCCCAAATTCGTTTCCTTCTTTCTCTGTCTTATTTTCAAAAAGGAAAATGAAAATGAAGAAAGGAAAACAAAGTAAAAAATAATATAGTCCACACATATAAAGAGCCATAAAGAAGATGAGTTAAATATAACCAACCCTTTTCACTTCATGGCGAGGTATGTCATGCCGGTTCAGGGTCTCAACTTCTAGTGAATTCTGTTCAGTGCTAAATAAAATTAGATGTTTTGTAATGCAGTACTAAATATGGTAACGGTATAAAGAGGAAAATTGCATAAAAAGAAAAATTGTTAACTCTAGAACAAAAAAAAAAAAGGAAAGAACTAAACCTCAGATTCATTATGGCAATGCCTGCAATCAAATATCTCATCACAACAAGGTGCTCTGATCTTGCATCTCCTTCTGTAATGTGAGCACCTAAAAATTCATAGTATACCAAATTAAGAGAAACTCAATTATAAGAAACTTGAATTCGAATGTTAAAACACACAAGAATAAGAAAAAGAAAATGGTTCATAGTCAAACTACGTAATCATGATGAGATAGATACCCGAAATGCCCAGATCCCCTCTCCATCTGAGACAACTCATCCATGGCTGAATCTAAGACCATCTTATTTTCAAAGCCGCTTTCCATTCCCTTTGAATCAACCTTCAATGTACAAACCAAATGATCTTTCTTTGAAAAATCACCTGAAATTACTTCACAACACAGAATTAAAACATAAATCAGCCATGTACTCCAAACAGATACCAGAAATAAAGTGGGATTTCTAAAACATGGATAAAAAAAAGAGAAAATTTGGAAAAGAAGTAAAGAATCAAACCCCAAATGGATTGAGCATTCAGGTTAGACAGATTCTTTGTATATGGGTATATGATTTGAGTCTCGGATTTTGAGGAAGAAGACAAGGCCTTCACTGATGATATATATATTAAAGATAGATAATAATGCAATCTTTGGCAAAATCACCCAAAGTCCAAACCCAAATCGAAAAAGAAAAATCACACTATGTGTTTACTTTTACTCCACACGCTTTTCTAGTTCTGTACATTACGAGGCGACAACCCATCGTTTGCCAGCAAAGCATTACCTTTTTCTAATCTTCTTTCTCTCTCCGTGTGTGATGGGAGGCTTTGCAGTTGCTGGGTTTGAAGAGTTCACAGTTTCTGTTGGGAATGGTTTGTGAAGGCGGTGTCAAAAATACGACCAGAATCCAGACCAGTACCACTGCTCATAAGTCATAACCATAAGAGAGGTGGGAGTGGTCGTATATATATCTGTGGGTGGCTGCTTGTGGGTTTTGGATGGGGGTGGGGAACAGTGAACACCAAGTTTGACGAAAGTGGATAAGTTTCGTGGGATTCGCTGGCGTGGAGTGGGTCCCACCTAAATTGTATGTAGGGTTTCGCGCTTTACTTCCCTTTAAGACGAGATAATATTCGATGCAATAGTAATTATCAATAATGAATAATAAAATTTTAAATAAATAAAATAATTTAAATAATTATTAATTTATAAAAAAAAAAGGTGAGTGATTATTTAATTACGTGGACGGCAATCATTGATTTATGTGTAGATCTATTTTTTTATTTATCTATATAATATTAATTAATGATATTACATGATAATATTAACTTGATATTATCAATACAATAAATATTTTTGCAACAATCGATAGTCTTTTTAATATTTACAAAAAATATTAGTTGGTGGCTTAATGAATTATGATTATTAAATTAGTTTAATATATCCTAATCATTAAGTTAATGGTGAGTCTCAATCCCAGCCATTGAATTGTAATAGTAATATCGATTACTTTATTTTTAAGATATCAACAATCAAATCATTTGAGATCTATTTTTCATCTTTCTTTTTTTTTGTTTTTTTTTTTTTGCTGAGTCTTACATTATTCATTTTAATTTTAATAATTTTGCCAGCAAAAAAATAGAATTAAAAAGAAGATAAGATAATGTGATGTTGACATAAGAATTATAATTTAATTTTTAAATAAATTAAAATTTTGAATGAATTAATATTAAAATTAAAAGTTATCATGATACCAACATTACATAATTTAATTATTATTTGTATCTTATATATAGTCAGTCTAGTATTATTTATTTAAGCCGACTATGTAACCACAACAATCTTGTACCTAATGCCACTCAATCCAATCTACTAGTCATATTATTTGTTATATTACTACTCATAACACATGTCTAAAAGCACAAATACAACATAAAATTTAAATACTCAAAAAATCGATATCACTATATCAAATAGTAATTTTAATTCTTCTCTATCCTTAATTACATACTTTGAAACTAGTTTTTACCCATTATCTCATTTAAAAATTTGATTTTTTTCAAAAACCATTA